GTCTGGGTTGACCCGGGTCAGGAGATCCCCGACAGTGGGGAGGGGGTAGGGGGAGGGGTAAACCCCTCCCCGAAGGGGAAGAAGGAGGGGTGGAAGAGGAAACGCTCTAAACCACCGACGCCCAGAGGGCTGGTGGGACTCCTTGGGGCCGTGGTTTGGGAGGACAAATGGCGCGGGTGCCTGGGGATGATGCGCTATGGGAGGGGATGGGTGCGAGAGAGGGGGGGTGGTGACGGTGCTTGGGGATGAAAGGGGGAGGAGGGGAGGGGAGGAAAAGGGCCCAGGAGTATCTGCAGCATTGGTGCCAGCATCGCGAGGACGAGGGAAGCGGGTGAGGGCAGAAGGGGGTGGTATGAATTGCGCATGGCCGTATGGGAAAGGGGGGGGGGGGCGAAAACGCAACTGGAAGGGGGAGGACGTGTCGGGTGGAGGAAGGCGAGGAGGAACGCCGCGCAGTGGCAGGAGGAGACAGGAAAATGACAACGGGGAGGAGGGGCGTGATGACGAAGGGAGCATCGGATGGGCACGAGGAGGACGAGGCGAAGGAGAGGAGGCAGGGCGAGGAGGGGGATGGTACATGTGGGCGGGGCAGCAGGCGCCAGCTATCGCTCATCTGGGAAGCGTTTTGTGTGCCCGTGCAACACCGTAAAGCAGAAGTGACGGCTGCCAAAAAAAGGCTATCATAGCCGTCGTGCGCGTTGTGCATCCAAGTCAAACGCTCGGGTCCACGACGCTCCTCTGCGTCGTGTTGATGCCGCTCGCCTTCGCCAGACCGCGCATGCACAGATAGGGTGAATCTGCGTTTCAACGTTTGCCTCGTGACCCCCATACAGTAACAAACAAACGTTGGAATCCAAGGAGGAAGCGTTGCCACTGTAGCTGGTGCGCTCGGAGTCGGGGCCGCCTGCTCCGCTGTCAGGGCTGCCCCTGCGGGTGGCCCAGCTGGCTCCGCTGCGGCGGCCGTGCTGGGCGCCGATACGCCGCCCCCTCGGCCTTCGCAAAAAAGCCGAAGCGGTAGCTCGCCGCGCTGGCCGGGTCCGCCGCGCGCTCCGCTTGCAGGCTGCCCGGCGGCGCTGGCGGAGCGGGCGCGGGAGCCAGCCAGCGTTCGGGCTCCGCCGCGTGTGCCGCCGGCTGCCCCGCTGGAGCGGCGTGCGCGCCTGCCTCGGCGGGGTGCTCGGCCAGTCCGTCCGAATCCGGGCATGAGCCGGGCCTCATGTTAGGATCGGCGTTTCGCTCCCATCGTTCAGAAAAACACGCCCTCCCAACCGCAGGCCTTTTTTTCTGGAACCGAGTCGGTTGTCTTCATTGTCCCCCATTCCTTTCCCCTCCTCCGTTTGCCCATGGTTGTCCTGTTCACTATGCTCATTCAGCCGCAGTTATTGCTAGTGTTCGTCGTCGTCCTTCTCCGTCATTTTTCTTCCTGCTCATCGTCCTGCTCATTCGCCACCTCCTGGTCATCCTCCTGGTCATCCTCTTGTTCTTCCCTTTTCATCCTCTTGCTCAACGGGTTTCGCATACACGATGGGATCATGTTTGAAGCTCGTGGTCCGCCATGAACATCGGCGCAATGGGAACGGATAGGTGGAAGGGGTAGGATGTCATATATGGCGCGAGTGCACCTGGCTTGCCCTTTGTCCTCGCTTTCTCAGTGTTTCTCTCTTTCCCTATTCCTCTCTCGCTCGCTGTGTGAGTCTGTCCGTCTTTGTTGTTTCTCTCTGTTTCACTCTTTCCTTACTCTTCTTTATGATGCAATGCCGCTGCCTAGACGCGGACTGCCTGCCGCAGGGGCTGACGAGCTGATTTGGCATCGTTCCTTTACTCAAGAGAATTACGCCATTCCGCTGACACAAGAAGAGATGTACGATTTCTGATTTCTCCCCGTCGTGCTCTGCCTGCGTTTTGTTGCTGCTGATTCGGTCCCCGTTTCCTGCGTGTCTGTTGCGGAGGTTGCAGGGCTTCATGGAGGCCTCTTCGAGGCCTAGGGGGGCGGCCTCTTGGAGGTTCTTCAGGGCTCCAGGACGCTGTGGAGGTCCCTTTATTCTTCACTTGATCAGGAAACCGAACATGGACCAATGGCACACACCCACGCACTAACATAAAGTCATACGCTCAAGAGGCCTCCAGGAGAACCCCAAGAGGACCAACCTAGTGCCCCATGATGCCTCCAAGATGATACAGGTCGCCACGACTGGACTCCGAACGCGGCAGTGCTGCGTGAGACATCTTCGCCGACACGGGGACTCTGCAACATTTGGTGTATTAAGTATGTGGTTCCTTAGGTGTGAGGTGGCGCACGAGGGCTCCAGGCGAGCCAGCATGGAGCAGGATTAAAACGACCACGCGTTCGTATACCCAGGTGGGTGACACGACCATCTGATTAAATTCTTGACGCTTCGCGTATCCCCACCAGTCCTTCCAGCCATCCACCTGTCGTTGGGCCGCTGCGTGAGGCCTCGGCCGGCGCGTAGCTGTTGCCTTGCGCGTCGCCTCTGCTTTCATTTTCTCGCGTTTCCTCTGCCTAACTCGTCTCTGCGTAGCCCGCTTTGACTTGACTCGCCGCCGGCGCGCTCGCCCGCGGTGGCTGGCTAAAAAGTATCCCCGCCAGTCTGCTGCAAGCGAGCTGCCCCCTTTCAGGGGCTGGGATGCATGGGGGGTCGTGTGGTTTATCCTACGTCTTGTCCTCGCCCTCTGCGGCCAGTTGTCAGCGTTGTGTGCGACTTTGGTGGTGCCACTTCCATGCACCAGGTTCCTGGTCAGTGAGTTATCCGGGCCTTGCTGGTATCTGCGATCCTTCGTGGTGGCGTTCCTGGCTTCATCCTGGTTTCGCTCCCGCGCCATTTTGGCTGCGCCCCAACTTCGGCTGGCTAAATGCATGTGCTCGTTCCCGGACCTGGTTCCTGGCAGCTGCAGCCCGCACCCCCTCCCGCTCCGGTGATCTGAGGTGCCGCCGAGGCCTATGTTTGTTGGTCGTTGGGCAATTAGGTTCGCGCGCGGCCCGCCCGTTCCGTTACTCGCCGCTTGCGCTTTCGCTTGCGGTTGCGACAAAAAGTATCCCCACCAGTCGGGCCCTGCCACGTTTCGCGGCACCACCTGGCGCAGCCCGGCAGCTTAGGCAGCTTAGGCAGCTTAGGTTCGGCCGTCGGTCCCCGTGCGCTAGGCAATTCGGTTCGCGCGTAGCCCGCCCGACCTCTGACGCTGCTGGCGCGCTCGCCTGCGGCCGCGACGAACAAATATCTCCACCAGTCAATGAGAGCTGACACGGGGGACAGGAAGAGACACGCATAATTGAACATCGAGGGGGGCCAGCCTGCAGCGGTCGTGGGGCCTCTTGGAGCATCTTGGGGGCCATTTGGAGCTAGCATATGCTACCGTGAGCCATCTTGAAGGTCATCTTCTGGGCTCTCTGAGGCCCCTCGGGGTCCGTTCGGGGGCCTCTTGGGGGCCTCTCGGGTGCTTTCGCCTCGTGGGGTTTCTTGGGGCGCTCTTTGGTTTGGGCCTTCTTGGGAGCATCTTCCATCTTGGAGGCGGTCGACCAACAAAAGGGGGGTACTCGATTTGCGTCCCCCCCTCGGAGGCCAAGATCCTCGTGGGGGGTGGCAAAAACGGAACCTCCGACACCTCGCGATCGTTCCCAAAAAACCTCATGGATGGGGAGGGGGGAGGTGCCCTTCCCCGAAGGGAAGACGGGCTGTGGAAGAGGAAAGAAACCCTTGTTAGACCACTTGTCGCCCAAAGGGCTGGTGAGATTTGCCTGGATGGCTGACAGGGCAGCATGCCCGCGCAACCCATGTGTCCCCAATTGGGTTGCCAAGTGGCAAGGGGGAGAAGGCGGAGCCATTAGCAGGAGGAGGAGGAGGAGGAGGAGGAGGAGGAGGAGGAAAAGGACCCAGAGCTCTCCTCGTGCTCTGGCTGCGCCTGGCCTCTTGTCGTGCCGCGGAGCGGCGTCGACCCCTGGCTGCGCTTCGCGCGCTCGCAGCTTCGCGCCACGGCCCCAGGCGGGGACGCGCTGCCGCGAGGCGACCGCGGGGCCTTCTCGACTGGGAGCGCCCGCGGCTGCGCCGGCGAGGGCTCCTGGCAGGAGGCTCCGGCCGCCGCCCCGTGCCTTTCCCCTTCAGTTTCAGCCGGCGCCCTAGCGATTTGGGAGGGCGCGCCCCCACCTTGCCCTTGGCACCGGCCCGCCCCGCCCAAGGCAGCGGTTCCGTCTGACCCGCCGGCTGGCCACCACACCCTGTGGGCGCGGGGGGTGGGCAGCCCGTCGGCGAGCGGAGCCAGGCAGAGGCACCAAGCCCAGGGCCAGCCTGGCGGGAGCGGCGGCCGCCCCACTGCCACGCGGTGCCAGGCCCGCGCCGCTCGGGGGCCCTCGGCTGGACGCGCGAGCTCCCAGATAGGCCGTTACTCGAGCCCGCAGGTGTGAGCCCACATGGCTCGAGCCAGGATGGCTTGAGCCAACACGGCGTATACGGACGCTGGAAGCGTGTCGCATTTCACCACCCTAATGCATCAGCGCCATCATCGTCAGCGTTTTCGTCATCTGCATCACTGTCTCATCATCGTAATCACCATTGTTACCACAATCAGCACGAACATGACCATCACCATCACCAGCATCATCATTATCTACATCGTCGCCGCCATCATCACCATCACCACCATCACGTGTGGACGGTGTTCACTGCGCCCGTTCCATCAGCAGCATAACTATCATCATTATCGTCATCGTCGTCACCATTAGCAATGTATGCATCTTCTTCGCCATGGCCATTATATTCAACATCTTCGTCAGCATCTTAATCGTTATCACATCGTCATGTTCCTCCTCATCATTATCATGATCATCATCATCCGTATCCTGATCCCCGTCGTCATTACCTTTTGCATCTCTATCATCACTACCCTCCTCATCCTCATCTTCATCCTCATCACCATCACAATCCTCATCCTCATCCTCATCCTCATCCTCATCTTCAGTATCCTGATCAGCCCCGTGGCTCCTGGCGCAGGGGCGCAGCCGCCGCATCTGGCTCCGCAGCGAGCTGCTGCAGCTCCGCGGCCTGGGCTCGGAGCCGCTGGTCGTGGGCGCAGGGGGCTCCTCGCCGCGCCCTGCCCACCATCTCCTCGGGGCTCATTCCGATTCCTCGAATTCGATCCGATTCGATTCCGGAGGCTTCAGATTTTGATTCGATTCGATTTCGGATTCCCATTTGGGTTTCAATTTCGCAGTGGAGGCCTATTGGCCTGCCGATATCCGCCGATTCGACTTCTCCCGACTTGGCTGCCGATTTCCGCCAATCCGATTCATTTCGATCGCCGATCCAATTTTTCGATTCGATTCTGGACGCGCCTGCCCTCGGGTGCAGCAGGTCAGCTCCGCGTCGAGCGATCCGATTTACAGCCAGCGCGTCGAAGCAAGGATTTCGCAGGTCAGCTGCCAGGTGGCCACGTCGAACCCCAGAGGTCTTGACCCCTTCCCTGGGAGCTGCTTTCCAGACGGCCCCTTGGCCCGGCGAGGGCTTGCATAGGCCGAAACTTGCGACCCCCCCCGCCGTGACTCGTTCATGACGCTTATAAGCGTCGTGAAAGACACAGACACCTAAGCGCTTAGGTGTCTGGGTATTGATCTCTTTGCCTCAGGCTCTGCATTTCCAAAGCGTACGTATACTGAGCGTGCGTGCGGCTCCCAAGGAGCGAGGCGTGCGCTTAGGGATCTCATAGCAGGTGCTCCCGTGGTGGGCGTCTGCTCTCCATACCGCCTGGGCAACCTCATGCTATCACATGTCCCTTCCATCCCGCGGTGTTGGGTCCTCGTTTCGACGAGACAGCGCCCCGAGTCTCCTCCCTTCCTTCCTTCTTCCGCCCTCCTCCCCCTCCTCCCTCCTCCCCCTCCTCCCCCTCCTCCTTCCTCGGGCGTGCGCCTCCAAGGGGATCGCACAGTAACCGGGTCCCCCGGATAAGCGTTGGAACGCCCCACCCCCTGAACCATTGAGAGTGCAGATTCATCCCCGGCCAGTGCAGAATCGGTCGGGGACGAAGGGCGGCAAGGCCGAATTCGATAATCGCAGGGGGAAGTTGCGAATCGAAGTTGCTCTCTTCTTATGTTAAATAGCAAGGATTCCTAAGGTGTCCCATTGATTTCCTACGGGATCTTATGGATGTCCCAAGGAATCCGATGGATTTGCCAAGGGATCCTGTGGATGTCCTAAGGAATCTCTCGAACTTCATCACGAATCCTGTGCATCTCCTGGGGGATCCTATGGATGTCCTAAGGAATCCGATGGATTCCCTTAGGAATTCTATTGATTTGAAGACCGAACTTTTTTATACTTGCTGTTTAAACGATGAAAAAGAAGTGAGGTTCACACATACGAAAAACCTAAGGTCCCGATCCTAAGGTTTGCTGAAGGTGGATTTCCGAACAAATCCTCAGGATATGTTGAGTGCAGCATCCAAGATCATATCAGTCATCATCATCGTCATCATCTTCATCATTATGCTCAGATTTCTGGGAAAGCGTTTATTACCCCCCCTGGACCCCGAACTTTATTATCCTTAGGGGATTGATATCTGGAGCAGTTGGGTACTGGTGACTAGTATGCGCCTCTGCGTCGCATCTCCAGGCCTCCCAGTTGGGAGGCGTCTGCCATCACCAGGCGGGGCTAGGACAACAAAAAATCTGCTTCAGAGAATTCCGGAACGTTCTCAGCGCGTTCCGGGACGTTCTTAGAAGGCGGCGGCGCCCGAGATTTCTTCCAGAGCCTGTGGATCTTAGAGGTTTTCGATTTATCTTCATCCGATTGTGTCGTCGTCGTCGTTTTCGTCGTCGGCTGCGTCGGCTGCGTCGGCTGCGTCGTCGTCGTCGTCGGTGTCGTCGGCTGCTTCGTCGTTGTCGGCTGCCTCGTCGTCGTCGTCGGCTGCGTCGGCTGCGTCGTCGTCGTCGTTTTGGCCGTCGTCGTTTTTGTCGTCGTCGTTGTTCCCGTCGTTGTCGTCGTCGTCGTCGTCCCCGTCGTCGTCGTCGTCGCCGCCATCGGAGTCGTCATCGTTGTCGTCGGCTGCGGCGTCGTCGTCGGCTGCGTCGTCGTCATCGTTGTCGTCGTCGGCTGCGTCGTCGTGGTCGTCGTCGTCGGTATCGTCGTCGGCTGCGTCGTCGTCGACGGTGTCGTCTCACTATTGAAGAATAATGTTGATCCCCCCCTACGGTAACAGATGTGTTTTTGTCAATTGAGGTCCCCCTCGCGGGGGTCGCACTCTGTTTCCATCAGGGAAAATCATCATCCTCAAACTGCGCCCCTGGCCCCCGGACTACAACAACAACGGCTCCCGCGTGATATTTCTCCGCAGTTTACTGAGGAATCGCGCTTTCGCTAGGGACGTCCAGTCAATTTTTTCCAAGAATCGCGCTCTCGCCTGCGACTTCCTCGCAATGTATTCAGGCGCCACGCCTTCGCCAGTCAGGAATCGCGCTCTCGCTTCTATGTGCTCAAAATTTATGACTCGCGCTCTCGCCCGAGACTCCCTGGCGAATAATGCAGAATTCAAGCATTCGCTCAACGTGCGGGCTTTTTCAATTGAAGTGCCCCTCTTGGGGCTCGCTGTTTTTTACTGGGGGAAACCTTCCTGCTCAAACTGTGCCCTTGGCCCCCAGTTTACAACAACAACAACAACAACAATATCAACAACAACTGCTCCCGCCTAATATTTCCTTGCAATGTATTGAAGAATCGCGCCCTCGCTAGGGACTTCCTTGCAACTCATCGAAGAATAGCGCTCTCGCCCGATATGTCCTCGCAATTCAGGCGTCGCGCTTTCGACACTCAGGAATCGCGCTGTCGTTTGGGACTCCCTCGCGATTGGTTCAGGCGCCGCGCCCTCGACACTCAGGAATCACGCTCTCGCTCTGGATTCCCTCACGAGATTTCGTTGGAATCGCGATGTCGCTCAAGGCTTTCTCGCGATTCACGCAGGACCCGCGCTTCAGCAATCCGCCTGCTCGTACTGGCCGCCTGGGCCCGCCTGTTAGGGTCTACCCGCCCGATCTGCCCGTCTGGTTCTGCCACGTGCTTTATTGTTCTTAGCCTCTCTCCTGCTACTCTCTCTCTCACTCTCTCTCTCTCTCTCCCGTGCTCAATCGTCCTCTCCCCCCATTGTCCCTTCCTTCCGTCCGTCCTCTCTTCCCCTGCTTTACGTTACAGGTAAGAACGATATGCCCTCAAGGAGATGCGATCGAAGACGAAAACTGTGAGTATCGAGGGTTGGATATATACATGTTGAATGGCACGCGTCGTCGTCGTCGTCGGCTGCGTCGTCGTAGTCGTTGTCGTCGTCGTCGGCTGCGCCGTCGTCGTCGTGGTCGTCGTTGTCGTCGGTGTCGTCGCCGTCGTCGGCAGCGTCGTCGCAGTCGTCGTTGCCGTCGTTGTCGTCGTCGCCGCCTGTTGCATCGTCGTTGTCGTCATCGTCGTTGTCTTCGTCGCTGTCGGCTGCATCGTCGTTCGTCGTCGTCATGGTCGTCGTCGTCGCCGCCGTCGGCTGCGTCGTGACGTCGTCGGCTGCCTCGTCGCCGTCGTCGTCGGTTGCGTCGTCGCCGTTGTCGTCGTCGTCGTCGTTGGCTGCGTCGTCGCAGTCGTCGTTGTCGTTGTCGTCGTTGTCGTCGTCGCCGTCGGCTGCATCGTCGTTGTCGTCGTCGTCGTCGTCGTTGTTGTTGTCGGCTGCGTCGTTGTTGTCGTCGTGTTCTGCGTCGTCGGCGGCTGCGTCGTCGTCGTCGTCAACGTCGTCGACTGCGTCGTCGTGAGCGCCGTCATCGTCGCTGGATGCGTCATCGTCGTCGGCCGTCGTCGTCGTCGTCGTCGCCTGTGCGGGCTGCGATGTCGGCTGCGTCGTCGTCGGCTGCGTCGTCGCCGTCGTCGTCATTGTCGCCGTCGCCGTCGGCGTTGGCGTCGTCGTCGTCGTCGGCCGCGTCGTCGTCGTCGTAGTTTTTGTCGGCGTTGTCGAATGCGTCGTCGTTGTCGTCGGCGGCGGCGTCGTGGGCTGCGCGGCCGCCGACGTCGTCTCGACTGCGTCGTCGTCGTCGTCGTCGGCTGCGTCGTCGTCGTTGTCGGTGTCGTCGTTGTCGGTGTCGTCGTTGTCATCGTCGTCTGAATTTTTGTCGTCGTCGTCGACTGCGTCGTCGTCGTCCTCGTCGGCTGCGTCGTCGTTGTCGTCGTCGCCGGCGTTGTCTTGCCGTCGACGTCGACTGCGTCGTCGTCGTGGTCGTCGTCCTCGTCGGCTGCGTCGTCGTCATCAGCTCCGTCGGCGCGGTCGTGGTTGTCGGCTGCGTCGTCGTCGTCGTCGGCTGCGTTGTCGGCTGGGTCGTCGTCGTCGCCGTCGTCGGCTGAGTCGTGTTCGCCGTTGTCGCCATCCTTGCCGGCGGCCACGTCGTCGTCGGCGTTGTGGTCGTGGGCTCTGTCGTCGCCGTCGTCGTCGTTGTCGACGTTGTCGGATGCGTCGTAGTCGTCGGATGCGTCGTCGTCGTCTCCGTCGCCGCCGTCGTCGTCAACGTCGTTGTCTTCGTCGTCGTCGCCGTCGGCGTCGGCGTCGTTGTCGTCGTCGTCGGCATCGGCATCGTTGCCGGTTGCGACGTCGTCGCCGTCGTCGTTGACGTGGTCGTCGTCGTCGGCTGCGTCGTCGTCGTCGTCGCCGTCACCGCTATCGTCGCCGTCTCTGTCGTTGTCGTCGTTGTCGTTTGCTGCTTCGTCGTCGTCGTCATCGGCGTTGGCGTCGTCGTTGTCGTTTTCACCTTCGTCAACGGCCTCGTCGTCGTCGTCGTCGGCTGCGTCGTCGTCGTCGTCTGCTGCGTCGTCGTCGTCGTCGTCACGGTCGTCGTCGGCGACTGCGTCGTTGTCGTCGCCGGCGTTGTCGTCGCCGTCGTCGTCAGTCGCGTCGTCGGCTGCCTCGTCGTCGTTGTCGGCTGCGCCGTCGTCGTCGTCGTTGTCGTTGTCGTCCTCGGTTGCATCGTCGTCGTCGTCGTCGCTGTCGTTGCCGTCGTCGTCTGCTTCGTCGTCGTCTTCGTCGTCGTCGGCTGCGTGCTGTGTCGTCGTCGTAGGTTGCGTCGTCGTCGGCGTCGTCGTCGCCATCGTCGGTTGGTCGTCGTCGTCTTCGTCGTCGTTGCCGTCGCCGCCGTCGTCGTCGCCGTCGTCGCCGTCGTCGTCGTCGTCGTCGGCGTCGTCGTAGTCGTCGTCGGTTGCATCGCCGTCGTCGTCGTCGGCGGCGTCGTCGTCGGCTGCGTCGTCGTCATCGTCGTCGTCGTCGTCGGCTACCTCGTCGTCGTCGGCTGCGGCACCGTCATCGTCGTCGTCGGCAGCGTCGTCCTCGTCGTCGTCGGCTTTGTTGTCGTCGCCGGCGTCGTTGTCGTCGTCGTCATCGACTGCGTCGTCGTCGGCTGCCTCGTCGTCTTACGTCGTTGTCAGCTGAGTCCGTCGTCGTCGTCGTCGTTGTCCGTGACTGCGTGGTCGTAGGGTCGTGGTCGGCGTCGGCTGCGTCATTGTCGTCGTCGTCGTCGCCGTCGTCGTCGTCGTCGTCGTCGGCTGCGTCGTCGTCATCAGCGCCGTCGGCGCGGTCGTGGTTGGTGGTTGCGTCGTTGTCGTCGTCGTCGGCTGCGTTGTCGGCTTTGTCGTCGATCTGGTTGTCGCCGTCGTCCGCTGCGGCGGCGTCGCTGTCGTCGCCATCCTTGTCGGCGGCCACGTCGTCGTCGGCGTCGTCGTCGTGGGCTGTGTCGTCGTCGTCGCCGTCGTCGTCGTCGTCGTGGTCGTCGTCGTCTCCGTCGCCGCCGTCGTCGTCGACGTTGTGGATGCGCCGTCGTCGTCGTCGTCGTCGTAGTCGTCGTCGTCGTCGTCGTGGTCGTCGTCTCCGTCGCCGCCGTGGTCAACGTCGTCGGCTGCGTCGACGTCACCGTCTTCGGCTGCGTTGTCGTCGGCATCGTTGTCGTCGGCTGCGTCGTTATTGTCGTCGTGGTCGTCGTCGTCGTCGGCTGCGTCGTCGGTGTCGTCGTCGTCGTGGTCGTCGTCCTCATCGTATTCGTCTTCATCATCGTTGGCGTCGTCGTGTTTGTCGTCGTTGTCGGCTTCGTCGTCGTCGTCGTCGGCTGCGTCGTCGGCGTCGGCGTCGTCGTCGTCGGCCGCGTCGTCCTCGTCGGCCGCGTCGTCGTCGTCGTCGGCTGCGTCGTCGTCTACGTCGTCACGTCGTCGGCTGCGTCGTCGTGGTCGTCGTCATCGTCGGCTGCGTCGTCGTCGTAGTCGGCATCGTTCTCGGCTGAGTCGTCGTCGTCGTCGCCGTCGTCGTTCTCGGCTGCTTCGTCGTCGTCGGCGTCGTCGTCGTAGTCGGCTGCGTCGTCGTCGTCGGTTGCGTCGTCGTCGTCGTTGTCGTCGTCGGTGGCTGCGGTCGTCGTCGTCGTCGTCGTGGTCGTCGTCTGCGGCGTCTCCCTCGTTGACGTCGTCGTCGTCTTCGTCGGCTACGTCATCGTCGGCGTCGTCGGGTGCGTCGCCGTCGTCGTAGTCGGCTGCGTCGTCGGCGGCGTCGTCGGCTGGCTCGTCGTCGTTGTCGTCGTCGACGGCTGCGCCGTCGTCGTCGTGGTCGTCGTCGGCTGCGTCGTCGTCGTCGTCGTCGTCGCGGTCGTCGGCTGCGGCGTCTCCGTCGTTGTTGCCGTCGTCGGCGTCGGCTGCGTTGTCGTCGGCGTCGTTGACGTCGTCGTCGTGGTCGGCTGAATCGTCGTCCTCCGCGGCTGCGTCGTCGTCGTGGTTGTCGTCGTCGGCGGCGGCGTCGTCGTCGTCGTCGTGGTCGTCGTCGTCGGCTGCGTCGTCATCGTCGTGGTCGTCGGTTGCGGCGTCTCCGTCGTCTACGTCGTCGTCGGCTGCGTGGTCGTTTGCGTCGTCGGCTGCGTCGTCGTCGTCGTTCTCGTTGTTGTCGTCGTTGTCGTCGGCTGCGTCGTCGTCGCCATCGGCGTCGTCGTCGTCGTTGTCGGCGTTTTCGTTTTCGTCGTCGTCGTCGGCGTCGGCTGCGTCTTCTTCGGTGTCGGCCGCGTTTTCGTCGGCGTCGTCTTCGTCTTCTGCGTCGTCGTCGACGTCGTCGTCGTCGGCTGCCTCGTCGCCTACGTCGTCGTCGGCTGCGTTGTCATTGTGGTCGTCGTCGTCGTCGTTGGCTGCGTCGGCGTCGGCGTCGGCGTCGTTCGCTGCGTCGTCGTTGTCGTCGTCGGCTGCTTTGTCGTCGTCGACTGCGTCGGCTGCGTCGTCATCGGCTTTGTCGTCGTCGCCGTCGTCGTCGGCTGTGTTGTCGTTGTCATCGTCGGCTGCGTCGGCTGCGTCGTCGTCGTGGTCGTCGTCGTCGTCGACATCGTTGTCGTCGTTGTTGTCCTTTGCGTCGTCGTCGTCATCGTCGGCTGCGTCGTCGTTGTCGTCTTCGTCGTCGCCGTCGTCGTCGTCGTCGGCTGCTTCGTCGTTGTTGTTGTAGTCGTCGTGGTCGTCTTGGTCGTCGTCGTCGTTTGTGGCTGCGGTCGTCAACGTCGGCGTCGGCTGCGTCGTTGTCGTCCTCGTCGTCGGATGCTTCGTCGTCGTCGACTGCGTCGTCGTCGTCGTCGTCGTCTGTTGCGTCGCGACCGTCGTCGTCGTCATCGTCGTCATCGTCGTCGTCTGCTGCGTCGTCGTCGGCTGCGTCGTCGTCGGTGTCGTCGGCTGCGTCGTCGTCGTCGACGTTGGCGTCGTTGGCGGCTGCGTCGTCGTCGTCGTCGGCTGCGTAGTCGTCGTAGTTGTCGGCTGCGTCGTCGTCGTCGTCGTCTTCGTGGTCGTCGTTGTCGTCTTCGTCGTCGTCGTCGTCGGCTGTCTCGTCATCGTCGTCGTCGTCGGCTGCGTCGTCGTCAACGTCGTCGTCGTCTCTGGCGCCGCGGAGAGGCTCCGCCGCCGCGGTGTTGTTCCGGACGGCGCTCCGCGCGGACCTCGGGGAGGGCGGCGCGCACTAGCAGAAGGCCGCGATGTCGCCGCCGAGCGCGGGCGGGGCGGCCGCGGACGCGGCTCCACGCAGAGGTGGATAGACCTCCTACCCTGACACGTCGATTAAGGAATTGGCCGTTTTCGGTTCGCGAGACGGCGTCGCGGCCGTAATTGTTGCGGGTCCACGTCTGTCGGTTTCGGTCCTATGCCGTTTTTACTAAGGGGAGGTTTACTACAGGGAGGTTTGTCCACCGCCGGTCCACGAGGAGGCCTGGGGGGTGGCACCCCGAAGGTCACTGAGCGCGTTCCCTTACTCGCAAAGTGCCAGCTCGCAAACGTCCGCTTAAACACTGGTCTGCCTAGATGTAGTGGATCCTGGATCCCCCGTTGCGGATCCAGGCCATTTGCTATAGATGTGAGGCCAGCGGTTGCTAAGCAGCAGCCTCATTCTAAGAAGCTCTCCCCTCTGCTCCACCCCCTTGTGCGCGGCACCCCGACGGGCCTTGGAGCCGTCTGGCACTTGGATCCGGGCGCTGCGATGCTTTCCACTCGGGCGTTTGTGTCTCGTTTCGGGTCATGGGACCCTCAGGGATGATTTAGCTCGATAGGTGCCGCAGCAAGATGGGGTTGAAGGCTCCGGTCGCTTTCTTTGCGATGTGACATTGAAAAATCGACAGCACGACACAAATCGAGACATTGCCAATGTCTCGATTTGTGTCGTGCTGTCGGATCTCAGGGCTTTTGAAGGCCCTGGGAGCCTGCTTGGGGCCTGAGGTGGTCCAGCACTGGTTCGGTCAGCAGGAAGGGGGGGATGAAAGGGCCCCCTGGTCGCCACGGCTGGGCGCGGCCTGAGAAATTGACAGTCCCGACCCCAGGAGGGGTCTGGGGACCGATTGTAAGTAGATTTGCCCCCCGTCTTGACATGTTTTTGTTCGAGCCCATCCAGTGCAGCCCCTGGCCGCTTCCAAGATACCGATACCGCGATCCTCTTAGGGGAGGGAAGTATACTGATACCGATAGCGTGTTACTCCTTCGCTTTTGTTCGGAGTTCTGGTGTTTCTTCAACAGTCGCGCGCTGATGGGTTCCCCATGGCGACGTGCCATTGATATCCAGCTGCCTCCGGCAATTCCGCCTCCATGCTAGCGCAGCATTCGGGGCGGCGACTCTTCGAGAAGGCATGGGAGGGCGTCACGTGTGTTACCTCGGGCCTCTCAAAGGCCCTGTGGCCTGTTGGGTTCTTTCTCGCGGCTTTTGGGAGGCTTCTTGTGGCCTCTTGCCTCTTGGCAGCCTCTTGGGGGGGGCCTCAGAGGCTCTAGGGGGTCCTTGGGCCGTCTGGGCACTCTCTGGGTCGTCTTTGGGCCCTTTGGGAGCCTTGAGGGCCGTCGGAGGGCCCTCCTTGGGCCGTCTTGGGGTCCTCTTGAACCGCATCTTGGAACACTCTTGGGCCGTCAGGGGGCCCTCCTGGGCCGTCTTGGGGCCATCTTGGAGGCGTCTTTGGCCGTCTTGGGCCTACGACGGCCCGAACATATTGGAATACGACAATCCATCAAAACTTATGGGGCAACTTTTTGTCGGAGGTCTGACAAACCTCAGAGGCCGTCTCGAAACGTATCCGGCAGTCCTGAGGCATCTTGCGCCGTCTTAGGGCAATTGTTTGCCGTCTTGGATTCTTTTCGCGCCATCTTGGCGGCCCTGATGGCCTACCTAGCCCGTGGTGGAAGGCATCGTAGGCATCTGGCCGGCTTTGGAGAGCGCCAGATGGGCGGCTGGCAGCCCAAGGAGCCTCGGGACGAGGGGGGCCGTGCATGCGGTTGGATGTTGGCAGGGGGTGGGCGGGTGGACTTCAGAGGGCTACGGCAACCCTACACTTCCAGTGGGCAACGTGCGTCTGCCCATACGCGTTCTGATTCTTCCTGCTTTTCCTCGTCCCTCCTCGCCCCCCCGCCACCACATTCGCGCAGCCTCCTCCTGAACGTAGTTCGACGAGTCAGTTTTCCTGCCCGTGCGCCGTTTGGGCGCCTGGCTTCCTTGCCAGCAAGCCTTACCAGACAG